CAAGTATGAAAATCTTCATTGGATGTATGTGTGAGCAGGGTTGTATTCTCCTCTCTGGACATCAAAGTGACAGTCATGACCACAGTCTCACTGGGCTGCAGAAGACTTGCACAAAATTTGGTCTCAGCTCCAGCTTCTATAACTGCAGGAATGGCCACCAGGTACTGCCTGCAGACACAGACAGATGAACACATAAAGCACTGACAAAGAAGGAAACCCCAAACCAGTACTCGTGCAAACTTTAACTACAACTTTGTGACTTTGTTACACACAAAGTCACAAAGCAAACAAATTCTATTTTTCTTTATAAAGAACACTTAAACTTACGGTTCAGCCACCGCTTGATCCACACACATCCAGCTCAGGAGGACACTCAGTGTCCATGTCAGAATTCTTGAACAGCCCATGACTCACTGCAAAGATTTTCAGAGTCAGCGTCTGTTAAATAGACACCCCCTCAACCCCCATGCCCCTCCCACTTAGCACAGATACCAACACCCATGACCAGCCCCTTCTGTTTGGTCTCCAGATATCTTAAAAGCACAAAAAGTTGGTCATGCAAAAATTCTACAGGTCAAAAAATTCAAACAATTTTAAGATACTTAAGATGTAGGTTTTTTTTTTATCCACAGACTTGTTTAAGACCAGGTGCTGTCTTCAAAATTAAAGCAAGTAGTAGTTTTTTTTAAGTTTTTAGTTTTCAAATGTGTATTCCATTCTATTTATACTAACACTGGAGAGAGAGAAGAGTTATTTTTTGTAAGTATTGATGTTTTCCTAATATTTTACCAAAATCCAGGAAGGAAATGTGGTTGCAGTGAGTGAAGTGTTGTAACAACTACTGATCTGTAATGGCATTCTGAAATAACAGATAACATACATAACATACATATCACAGACGTGATACAGAGTAACACCATGAAGATGCTGACTGAGTATGAAACACAGGATGATCGCTGTGTTGTGAATTAGGGGGCAGGGTTTAATAAGAATATTTTCTTCTTCCTGCTCCTTTTCACACATGGTTGTAGTGTTTTTTGATAGAAAGTGTGGTTGGTTTGTTTGAATTGTTGTACCAAGTGTGAAATAAATAAATAAATGAAAAATGAAATTATGAAGAACGTGTCATAAATTAGTAGAAAGGTCACCCGAGCACAAAGCACTGTAAAGGTTCCACAAGTTTATTTACAGATTTAGGCAAGGGGGAACAGAAGCAGTCAACAGAGCAGGCATTTTTGGCTTTTGACTTCCAGTAGTGGCATGCACACATGTGAATAGACCTCACGGGTTCAGGTTTTGCGGCAAGATTTGCACAGAAACAGGTATTAATACAGGGCATCCATGCTGTTCTCCTAATAATTTCATGGCTTGCTCATATTCACCTAGGGCAGGGGTCAGCAACCTTTTACACCCAAAGAGCCATTTGGACCCAGTTTCCACACAAAAGAAAACACTGGGAGCCGCAAATACTTGTTGACATCTAAAATGAAGATAACACTGTATATATTGCTTTTTACCTTTATGCTTTGTGGGAAAAACTAAGGTGCGTTGCTTATGAAATCCATGAAGTGCTACAGAGAAAATTATATTTTATTTAATAATAATAATGATAATTGATTGCATTTATATAGCGCTTTTCTAGGCACCCAAAGTGCTTTACAATTCCACTATTCATTCACTCTCACATTCACACACAGTTGTAGCCACAGCTGGCCTGGGGCAGACTGACAGAAGCGAGGCTGCCATATCGCGCCATCGGCCTCTCTGGCCTCTATTTATGTATTAACACATTTTTAAAGAAATATAACAAAAGGAAAGACACCCAGCTGAACTAAAATGATCCATGTAGCAAACAAAAACTGTTGTGAGCCGCCAGCCTTAACAATAAGTACTAA